TCGTGATTAGTGCTTCGGGCCTATGTTTATAGAGCAACAATTGACGTTAAGTTCACCATTAGAGCGCTGACAGCAGTTTCATGATCTCATCACTACCCAATAAAGAAACCTTGGAATGCTGACGATTTCCCCGTAGTCGAGATGGTTGAAGATACCTTCGACGTAAATGCCAAAGAAATCACCTAATGCATTCTATCTTGAGTGGTTGATAGGGAACTATTGGCATTAAGTTAAATCATGGGTTGTATATTGGTTAAACTTAATTCAACTCAATGAATTTGTTTTATAACAATCGCTGTGCCACTTTCAGCCCGCAGTGTGTAGGGGAATTGCTGATACGTGTACCTTGCCTGTCGTAAGATGCAGCTAAATGGGTTGTTGAGAGGATATTGTACTTGGATGGTATCGGATGGTCACAAGAGTTGTAGGGTATAAATCGTATTTGGAATGGATTGGATGAACACAGTGGTTGTTGAGTATAAATTGTACTTTGGAGGGATCGGATGAACACAGGAGTTGATACATTTTACTTAGATGCGCATCGAGTGGTCAGAACGGATGTTGAGACAGTATTTGGATTGGGATCTAGTGATTTCAGTGGTTTGTTATCATGAATACAATACTAGTTCTTAGATGGTACCTGTCTTGTAAAGTGAGGGAGTGAGTGAGTTGGGTTTTTAACGCCGCTTTTAACAGTATTCCAGTTATATCGCGGCGTGTCAGCCTAATGTGGGAGGAAAGCCCGAAGTAATGCAGGTCTCAGACGTTTACCATTTCGGTGAAACCCACGAGCACGGGTATGGTGCTGACAAACCTAGAAATATAAGGCTGGTAAAGAATGAGCTCGGTTTAGTGCTACTTTGTAAAGTATTTAAATCACGGTTTGGGGGGCAGACATTTACCACAGTCGTGGCATTCTGGAGTTGTTGTACATAGACAACTGGTTTATATGGTCTTCGGCATAAAACATCATTCATTCATGACTATAGTTCGAAATAAATAGCATGAGCCCAGCGGGTCACACATATACTGTACAATGTGGGATTTAATCACTGTGAAAACGTAAACATAAGCAATTCATATTTAAGTTTTGTTTTAAACATGCAAGAACCTGTGATGTGGCAAAGAATATAATTTTCTCCATAAATATTCCATATGTGTTATACTCTTCTTGTACTCGTTGTTGGGTGCCATGGAAAATTCGAAAATCACGTGGATGTATGCATCGACTGCACATGCGCTAGGTGATACTGACAGCAACATATGCTACGACGTACCACTTCGTGTCTGACACGTGATGTCTCCTCGCAAGTGTATTTACTTGCGATCACATTGTGCGTGCATCATCCCTTCCCTTCTCTAAACATTTTCCATTTTTCCTGTCCGTATATAAGCTGCATGAACTCCGACATACTGCGTTCAAATTGTCATTCCACACATCGACTACCTTAGCGACGCTCTATCAGTTTTATTCTGCAACAAATAAATGAATCCTTCACTTCACTACCCTCGTGCTTTATACCCAATCTTAAAATCTATTTTGACGTCCAACTCTGTGTCGACGCCCACGCCAACAAAAACGCTATAACCACCCACACTATACCTAAATCCCAGTACGAAATGTCGCCTCAATCTCCCTTCAATGTGCATACACTCTCCAATCACACAAGGTGCTCCCACTCTCCCATTACACAACGTACCCTCAATCTCCCAGCACTCAAAGTGCTATGAATATCCCATCACACAAGTTGTCCTCATTCATCCATCACACAAGGTGCCCCTTAATCTCCCATCACAAAAGGTGCCCTCACTCTGCCATCACACCATCTGCCCTCAATCTCCAATCACACCATCTGCCTTCTCTCCCCCATCACACAAAGTGCCTTCAATCTCCGATCTCATAAGGTGCCGTCAATCCCCCATCACACAATATGCCCTCATCACCCCGTCACACAAGGTGCCCTCAATCTCCGATCACACAAGGTGCCCTCAATCTCCGATCACACAAGGTGTCCTTAATCTCCCATCACACAATCTGCCCTCACTACCCATCACACAAGGTGCCGTCACTCTCCCATCACATAAGGTGTCCTCACTCTCCCATCAAATAAGGTGCCATCAATCTCCCATCAATCTCCCATCACTCAAAGTGCCATGAATATCCCATCACACAATTTGTCCTCATTCATCCATCACACAAGGTGCCCTCAATCTCCCATAACAAAAGGTGCCTTCACTCTGCCATCACACCATCTGCCCTCAATCTCCAATCACACCATCTGCCTTCACTCCCCCATCACACAAAGTGCCTTCAATCTCCCATCTCATAAGGTGCCGTCAATCCCCCATCACACAATATGCCCTCAATCCCCCATCACACAAGGTGTCCTCAATCTCCCATCACACAATCTGCCCTCACTACCCATCAAACAAGTAGCCGTCAATCTCCCATCACACAAGGTGTCCTCACTCTCCAATCACATAAGGTGCCATCAATCTCCCATCAATCTCCCATCACTCAAAGTGCTATGAATATCCCATCACACAAGTTGTCCTCATTCATCCATCACACAAGGTGCCCTCAATCTCCCATAACAAAAGGTGCCCTCACTCTGCCATCACACCATCTGCCCTCAATCTCCAATCACACCATCTGCCTTCACTCCCCCATCACACAAAGTGCTTTCAATCTCCCATCTCATAAGGTGCCGTCAATCCCCCATCACACAATATGCCCTCAATCCCCCATCACACAAGGTGTCCTCAGTCTCACATCACACAAGGTGTGCTCAATTTCCCATCACGCAAGGTGTGCTCAATCTCCCATCACACAAGGTGTCCTCAATCTCCCATCACACAATCTGCCCCCAATGTCCCATCACACAAAACTGGCCACATTCTTCCATCACATACGGTGTCCTCAGTCTCCCATCACACATTGTGTCCTTACTCTCCCATCACCCAAGGTGCCCCCAGTCTCCCATAATTTAATGTGTCCTTACTCTCCCATCACCCAAGGTGCCCTCAGTCTCCCATAACTCAATGTGTCCTTTCTCTCCCATCACCAAAGGTGCCCTCAATCTCCCATCACTCAATGTGTCCTTACTCTCCCATCACTCAAGGTACCCTCAGTCTCCCATCACTCAATTTGTCCTTACTCTCCCATCACCCACTTTGCCCTCAAACTCCCATCACACAATGTGTCCTTACTCTCCCATCACCCAAGGTGCCATCAATCTCCCATCACTCAATGTGTCCTTACTCTCCCATCACACAATGTGCCCTCAGTCGCCCATCACACAATGTGCCCTCAGTCTCCCATCACTCAATGTGTCCTTACTCTCCCATCACACAATGTGCCCTCAGTCTCCCATCACTCAATGTGTCCTTATTCTCCCATCACACAATGTGCCCTTAGTCTCCCATCACTCAATGTGTCCTTACTTTCCCATCACACAATGTGCCCTCAGTCTCTCATCACTCAATAGGTCCTTACTCTCCCATCACACAATGTGCCCTTAGTCTCCCATCACTCAATGTGTCCTTACTTTCCCATCACACAATGTGCCCTCAGTCTCCCATCACTCAATGTGTCCTTACTCTCCCATCACACAATGTGCCCTTAGTCTCCCATCACTCAAAGTCACAGGAACTCGATGATAGCGTGTATAACATAATATATTCGTATAGAGAAAGAAATCACACCCCTCTATATACATAGAGACAAGGAGTGACACCCGCCATCTTGTTTTCATTCAAGATTTCGCACTCGGTTCGAATCATGTCGCATAATCGCATGAAATATGAATGTCACTTATTTCACCCTATTGGAACTTGCTGAACAAATCTCAAAAAGAGTTCAAGCCCGTGTAGCGCCGTAATTTCCGGCCACCCTTTTTCTTGTTTACCTCAGCGGCGCAGCGTAGAGCTGACATTCAATAGTTGTTTTTAAAATAAAAACGAGGTAAGGTGACCACAAATGAACATGATTGTATAGCCTATGGTTTGTTTAGCAGGTGCCAACGGGTTGAAATAAGTGACATTCATATGTCATGCGATATCGAGCTGTGATTCGAACCGAGTGCGAAATCTTGAATAAGAGCCAAGATTGCGGGTGTCACTCCTTGTCTCTATGTATATAGAGGGGTGTGATTTTCTTCAATACGAATATATTATGTTATACACGCTATCATTGAATTCATGTGCTCAAAGTGGCATCAATATCCCATCACACAAGCTGTCCTTGATTTTCCCAACCTATCCACTGCCCCCTTTCCAGATATTTTCCAGCTAAAGAAGTGCTTCCATTAGTCTACAGCATCGATAACACACGATCTTGCACGAGGTGCCTCCAATGTTCCATCATGCAAGGTGTCCCCAATCTTCAAACACTCGCGGTGCCTCCCAGTTTCCCGGAGTCTTCCATCAAACCGCATGCTGCCAATCTCTCATCTCACGGGTTGGCCCCATTAGCCTATCGCATTGCTCGCATACAAACTCGGTATGCTTGGGAATTCTCCTCTAATGACTTCCTTTGTCTTGTGAATGATTAGCACAACTGATTAAGACTGTAGTCAACATGCACACAACACGGAACAAAATGTCTGCGAGATTTCTATGCTACATTTCCTGCAATTAGAGTGCACATCATTGCGACGTAACTGTGAAACTCGGTTGCGTGCCCCTAGTAGCAAACTCTAATTGGATTAAATTAGGAATGCTTTATAATCTTATGATTTCACTGGAAAATTCGCTGACCTACAATTTTATTACATGCTATGATCAAATTCATTCTTTGACTTGATTGCTATGAGACAGAAACCAGTTCATGCATAACATGTCTTTTTTCATTTGCTTAAGCAGAAGCATTTTCTTGAAACAAAGATTTAAATGAATATAAAGTTGGTCTATTTCATCTTTGTTATATATCATACATATATTTTCCTAGATGAATAATCAGTAATTTAGTGTATCTAACGTTGTTCTGTTTTGTTTTTAAGGAAATCCGAGATTGGAAGTACATCGCCATGGTAATGGATCGCTTCTTTTTATATATATTCACTACTGCAACCTTCAGCGGTACTCTCAGCATCTTCCTGTACGCCCCATCGCTCTATGATGGACGAGAACAAATGGAAAGAGAAGACCCCAACGCAACCTGCGTATACTAGTTGTCTCCCTTGTGCATAACTCTTTTTGTCAGTGTGGATCAAATCGTGATTGCTGTTCAAGCTTCCTTATGCACATGCGAGTCCGAGAATCATTCTGCGAGGCCGGTTTCAAACCTGTACAGAGACGCTTTGCATTCATTTAATGTTTCCAATATTTTTCTACATAAGAACCATCGTAGTTTCATACAAAAATACCGGCAGCATCCAAGAATTGGATTAGCCAGCATGTCAACAAAGGAAGATTACTCTTGTGAAAGGGAGATAAGTGTTCACACTGCCAGGAATAATTCTTCTGTCTGTATTATGCTGGGTTAATTTTCAAAGTATTTAATAATTTCATATGTTTGTTCCTCTATTGCTTAATTATATCATCGCACCAAGCAGTAAGTTGATTTGATTGCAAAGTGATTATGTATTTATTCATCAATTTATTCTTTTTTATGTGTACAGATTTGAAATATTATTGCACCGTTTGAATTCATATGTTGAATTGTCCATAGTTTATTATTGACTGTCATTCCTTTTGTAAAAAGAAGTATGATAATTATTTTAGTGTCCCATTGTGGCACACGTTCCCTCTGCTTTACTCACCGTGTGAACTGCTGGTGTTAACTGAATTCAGTGTGTCATTGTATATATACGCGCCGAACTACTTTTTGGTAATGGTTATACAGTAAGGCAACAGCCTCACTTTCATAATAAAGCCATAGATAAAAAACATACCCTTCGTTGAAATTATTATTCATTCACATGTGGACTTGTATTTACCAAACACTATTATACTTGTTACAGAATAATCATCTTCGAAAAACGTAATTCTAATAATAATAATATGATATTAAAAACTTGCCGGGCATGTCATAGCCAGGACTAGTCCACAATTCCTGGTACCATTTTGCTGCAGCTTAAATCACGGTAGAAAGCAAGAAGACAATATGATGCCTTGTGGCATGGAGTGAGTGAGTGAGCTTGGTTTTGACATCGAAGCTGTTGAGTGTGATTGCAGCGGGTTAATATTTTGGCTCATAGTTGGTAATACTAAAAAAAATCCCTTTAGTCCGCTTTTACGGCAAGCATGGGTTGGGGAAGACCTATTCTACCCCGGCTCTTCACGGGTCGATAATGATCAGGAACATATTAGCTAACCAGTCATTATCACCCAGTGTTGTGGAGACTGCGAATAAAGTCGGATGAAACCAAATTAATTTACCCAACTGCATTCCTCCTATCTGCAAATGTCGGTTTTTAAGTTCCTACTGTTCGGAAAATTCAGATTTTATTTTAGCTTTATATATTTCTGGCTGTCCGTATGCAAAATATAGAAAATACTACTCACAGAAGAATAAGGCAAAGCGCATGAGATATTATCTCGATCAACCAGACCAGTGTGTATTTATATTGCTTTCTCAGCTCCCTGGGACTCATTATACAACACTGTTTGCCGATTGCTGTGGCCAGAACGTTTGCATTCAAATTACCATCACAACAGCAATGTATCCAATCGCTTTGGATGAACAGACACACAAGGAGGCACAAAGTTAGTTGCCTATGAGGCTAACACGTGTCCTTTAACATTAGCCCTTTGACATAAGCCCTAGCAGTTATCCATCCGCTACTCTCCGTCGCCAAAATTGCTTATATTTACTTGATTTGTAACGTTTACTTAATTTGTAACCGTTACGTTATGCATAGGGCCACATTCCAGAAAGTCTCTCTTCATACAACACAGCCTCAAGACCACGTGTTCCACTCGTGATGTGAGATACTGCAGTCAGTGTGGTGACATCAGGTGCTGGCATAATGGAGGTTGTCCTTACCTAGAATAAAGACTGCCCTTACCAAGAATAAAGATTGTCCTTATCAAGAATAAAGATTGTCCTTACCTTCAATAAAGATTGTCCTTATCAAGAATAAAGACTGTCCTTACCCAGAAAAAAATTGTCCTTACCTTCAATAAAGATTGTCCTTACCTGGAATAAAGGTTGTCCTTACCAAGAACGTAGATCGCCCTTACCTAGACGAAAGATTGTCCTTACCTAGAACAAAGACTGCCCTTACCTAGATTAAAGATCGTCCTTACCCAGAAAAAAGATTGTCCTTACCTTCAATAAAGATTGTCCTTACCTGGAATAAAGGTTGTCCTTACCAAGAACGTAGATCGCCCTTACCTAGACGAAAGATTGTCCTTACCTAGAACAAAGACTGCCCTTACCTAGATTAAAGATCGCCCTTACCTAGAGTAAAGATTGTCCTTACCTAGAATAAAGATTGTCATTACCTAGAATAAAGATTGTCTTTACATAGAATAAAGATTGTCCTTATCTAGAATAAAGATTGTCCTTACCTTGAATAAACAAAGATTGTCCTTACCTAGAATAAGTATTGCCCTTAACTAGAATAAAGATTTCCCTACCTTGAATAAACATGGTCCTTACCTAGAATAAATATTGTGTTTACCTGGAATAAAGATTGCCCATACCTACAATATAGATCGCCCTCACCAAGAGTAAAGATTGTCCTTACCTTGAATAAAGATCACCCTTACCTAGAATAAAGATTTCCTTACCTAGAATAAAGATCGCCCTTACCTAGAGTAAAGATTGTTCTTACCTGGTATAGAGGTTGTCCTTACCTAGAATATATATCGCCGTGACCTAGAGTAAAGATTGTCCTTACCTAGAAAAACGATTTTCTTTACTTTGACTAAAGATTGTCCTTACCTAAAACAAAGACTGCCCTTACCTAGAATAAAGATCGCCCTTTCCTAGAGTAAAGATTGTCCTTACCTAGATAAACATTGTCCTTACCTAGAAAAAGGATTGCCCTTACCTAGAATAAGAATTGCCCTCAAAAAAATAAAGATTGTCATCAAGAATGAAGACTGTCCTTACCTAGAATAAAGATTGTCTCCACCTTGAATAAGGATTGCCATGACATAGAATAAAGATTGTTCTTATCAAGAATAAAGATTTTCCTTTTCAAGAATGAAGACTGTCCTTACCTAGAATAAAGATTGTCCCCACCTTGAAGAAGGATCGCCCTTAACTGAAATAAAGATTGTCTTTACCTAGACTAAAAGTTGTTCTAACCTAGACTAAAGATTGTCCTTACCTAGAGTAAAGATTGTCCTTACTTAGAACCAAGACTGCCCTTACCAAGAATAAAGATCGCCCTTACCTAGACTAAAGATTGCCTTTACCTAGAATAAAGATTTCCTTACCTTGAATAAAGATGGTCCTTTCCTGGAATAAAGATCGTCTTTACCTAGACTTAAGATTGTCCTTACCTAGACTAAAAATTGTCCTTAACTAAAATAAACATTATCCTTACCTAGAATATAGATTGTCCTTACCAAGAATAAAGATCGCCCTTACCTAGACTAAAGATTGTCCTTAACTAGAATAAAGATTTCCTTACCTAGAATATAGATTGTCCTTACCAAGAATAAAGATTGCCCTTACGTAGACTAAAGATTGTCCTTAACTAGAATAAAGATTTCCTTACCTAGAATATAGATTGTCCTTACCTAGAATAAAGATTGCCCTTACCTAGACTAAAGATTGTCCTTAACTAGAATAAAGATTCCCTTACCTAGAATATAGATTGTCCTTACATATAATAAAGATTGCCCTTACCTAGACTAAAACCTGTCCTTAACTAGAATAAAGATTTCTTTACCTAGAATATAGATTGTCCTTACCTAGACTAAAGATTGTCCTTACCAAGAATAAAGATCGCCCTTACCTAGACTAAAGATTGTCCTTAACTAGAATAAAGATTTCCTTACCTAGAATATAGATTGTCCTTACCAAGAATAAAGATTGCCCTTACGTAGACTAAAGATTGTCCTTAACTAGAATAAAGATTTCCTTACCTAGAATATAGATTGTCCTTACCTAGAATAAAGATTGCCCTTACCTAGACTAAAGATTGTCCTTAACTAGAATAAAGATTCCCTTACCTAGAATATAGATTGTCCTTACATAGAATAAAGATTGCCCTTACCTAGACTAAAACCTGTCCTTAACTAGAATAAAGATTTCTTTACCTAGAATATAGATTGTCCTTACCTAGAATAAAGATTGTCCTTACCTAGAATAGAGATTGCCCTTACCTAGACTAAAGATTGTCCTTACCTAGACTAAAAATTGTCCTTAACTAGAATAAAGATTTCCTTACCTAGAATAAAGATTGTCCTTACCTAGAATAAAGATTGCCCTTACCTAGACTAAAGATTGTCCTTAACTAGAATAAAGATTTCTTTGCCTAGAATATAGATTGTCCTTACCTAGAATAAAGATTGCCCTTACCTAGACTAAAGATTGTTTTTAACTAGAATAAAGATTTCTTTACCTAGGATATAGATTGTCCTTACCTAGAATAAAGATTATCCTTACCTAGAATAGAGATTGCCCTTACCTAGACTAAAGATTGTCCTTACCTAGACTAAAAATTGTCCTTAACTAGAATAAAGATTATCCTTACCTAGAACAAAGATCTCCATTACCTAGAATAAAGATTGGCATTACCTAGAATAAAGATTACCCTTACCTAGAACAAAGATCTCCCTTACCTAGAATAAAGATTGTCCTTACCTAGAATAAAGATTGTCCTTACCAAGAATAAAGATTTCCTTACCTAGAATATCGATTGTCCTTACCTAGAATAAAGATTGTCCTTACCTAGAATAAAGATTGTCCTTCTTTGAATAAAGATTTCCCTTACCTAGAATAAAGATTGTCCTTACCTAGAATAAAGATTGTCCTTACCAAGAATAAAGATTTCCTTACCTAGAATATAGATTGTCCTTACCTAGAATAAGGATTGTCCTTACCTAGAATAAAGATTGTCCTTACCTTGAATAAAGATTGCCCTTTCCTAGAATAAAGATCGCCCTTACCTAGAATTAAGATTTCCTTACCTAGAATAAAGATTGTCCTTAACTGGAATAAAGATTGTTCCTACCTGGTATTAAGGTTGTCCTTACCTAGAATATATATCGCCGTTACCTAGAGTAAAGATTGTCCTTACCTAGAAAAACGATTGTCTTTACTTTGACTAAAGATTGTCCTTACCTAAAACAAAGACTGCCCTTACCTAGAATAAAGATCGCCCTTTCCTAGAGTAAAGATTGATCTTACCTAGAATAAACATTGTCCTTACCTAGAAAAAGGATTGCCCTTACCTAGAATAAGGATTGCCCTTATATAGAGTAAAGATTGTCATCAAGAATGAAGACTGTCCTTACCTAGAATAAAGATTGTCTCCACCTTGAATAAGGATTGCCATTACATAGAATAAGATTGTTCTTATCAAGAATAAAGATTTTCCTGATCAAGAATGAAGACTGTCCTTACCTAGAATAAAGATTGTCCCCACCTTGAATAAGGATCGCCCTTAACTAAAATAAAGATTGTCTTTACCTAGACTAAAAGTTGTTCTAACCTAGACTAAAGATTGTCCTTACCTAGCGTAAAGATTGTCCTTACTTAGAACAAAGACTGCCCTTACCAAGGATAAAGATCGCCCTTACCTAGACAAAAGATTGCCTTTACCTAGACAAAAGATTGCCTTTACCTAGAATAAAGATTTCCTTACCTTGAATAAAGATGGTCCTTTCCTGGAATAAAGATCGTCTTTACCTAGACTAAAGATTGTCCTTAACTAGAATAAAGATTTCCTTAACTAGAATATAGATTGTCATTACCTAGAATAAAGAT